GTGGCCAAGGGATGGTCTTAAGGATCCCAAGTGAGACCCCCTGGTGGGCCCAGGGCTCCTCTGATCCTGGCCTACCTGGGCAGCTGCAAGGCCTGGAAAAGCTGGAGCTGATGGTTCTGGGCCTAAGGGGTGTCTGTTTGGAGCCTTGGTTTCCTCATCTGTTAAATGGGGTCAAAGCCGCAATGACCTAGGCACTGAGAAGGAGCAGAAGGAAGTGCACCACGCATGGCTGCCCTCTCAGACAGGAAACCCTGGTAGGCATGAGGTGGCGGCCCTCACCCAGAGCTCACCCAACACCTTCAGCCTTCCCGTCCCTCCCGAGGGGGGCGGCTCAGTTTCCTGCCTGGACGTGTAGTAATGTGTTAAAACTTGGCCACCCCCCTGCTTTCCTCTTAACCCCCTGACTGGGCCCTAAACACGCCACCCTGGTTCCCAGGTCAGACCCTTTGCCCTTGAAGTTCCCCCATATGGCTTACTTCCCCATGGTGCTGTGTCTGGGAAGCTCTGGCCCTAAAATATCACCTCCTCTAGGGAGCCCTCCTTGATTATTTTGTTGCCCCAGGAACCACTCCTTTGCTGAGAAGCCTCCTGCCTATCATGCTTTTACTCCTCTGAGAAACGACCTTGTTTGCGTCCTGGCTGGGTTACCTCAGGCTCAGTTTCCTCATGTGTAAAATGGCCATGATGGCAACAGTCCCCTCAGAGTCCTGGGTCCTGACTGGTGGCCCCAGAGGCCAGGATATGTCAGAATCTCCTTCTGCAGGTCACGGGATGGACTCGGCCCCAGCATTCTGAGCAGAGCTTGAGGACAGCAAGCCAGAGAGGGTGGACAAGTGAGGCCCAGGTGACCAGTCAGACAGAAGTGGTTAGGGAGGAGGCAGGCATGGGAATAGTGGTCAGGCTGATATGCTCCCATTTTATGGATGGGGAAATGAAGTCATTTACTGCAGGCACACAGCCTTCTAGCGGGGCAGCTGGGATTTGCACACATTTGGCAGAGTCCCACAGGCAGGGGGTGGAGGACAGGGAGCTAAAGGAGGCCGAGGGAGGGAGCAGCATGGGGAGGGCTGTTTGGAGGAAAGGTGAAAGGGGAAGTTTGACTCAGTTGTGTTGGAGAGGCAGAAGGAAATAAAGGAGAAAAGGAGGGCAGAGAGAGGAGAGGGAGAGAGAGAGAAGGAAGGGGTAAAAAAAAGAAGGAAGGAAGAATTAGTCAGGACTATTTCAGTTGCAAGTATTCAAACCCTAATTGGCTTAAGGAAAAAAAAGAAGATTTTATTGGTTTATGTAACCGAAAAGCCTAAGGTTGTTGGCTTCAGGCACAGCTGGATCCAGGGTCTCGAACAAAGAACTCTCCCTCTTTCAACTAAGCTTTCCTCTGGTGAGCTTCACTCGCAGGTAGTCATTTCCCATGGGGATGAAATGGCCTCAGCGATCCCTGGTTTATATTTTATCAGCCCAGAAACTCCAGAGAAAAATGAGAAAGCAGTTGGCCAGATAGCTTTAGCAACAATCGTGGGCTACCTCTCATTGGACAGACTGAGGCCATATGTCATTTAGGAACCAATCACTGTGTCTGGAAAGGAAGGACTGTGTCTATTGGCATGCCTGAGTCATGTGGTCATTACTGGTGATGGGGGTGGGGCTAGCCCCACCAGACCTAAGGGGACAAAGGGTGGAAGAGAAAGTAATTCGTTCAACAAATGTTTATTGAGCCCCTACTGTGTGCTTGTCCCTGGTCTAGACGCTAAGAATACAGCAGTGAACAGGACCAGAGGAAAAAACCCTTCCTCCTGTGGCTGATGCTATAGGTAAATGCATGAGTTATAATGACAGTAGGAGGTGGCATGTGCTATACAGAAAGTTAAAGCAGGGGTAAGGCTAGGAACAGCTAGGGGAAGGGAGCTGAGATTTTAAATAGGTGATGACATCCGAGTAAAGGCTTGAGGCAGACAGAGTGAAAAGATCTAAGAGAGGGTATTCAGGACAGAGGGAACAGTCCATGCAAAGGCCCTGAGGCAGGAGCCTGCCTGGTGGCAGGGAGGGAGGGAGATAATAGGAGGTGAGGTGGGGAAGCGACGGGCCAAATCGTGCAGGTCCTCTTGGGCCTCGGGAGGACTTTGGATTTTACCTTGAGTAAGATGGGAGCCGCGGAGGGTTCCGAGCCGAGAAGGCACGGGACCTGACTGGGCCCAGGCATTCATTCACAGGAAGAATAGATGATCAGACCCACAGAACAGCTCTCATATATACAGAGATTTTATGTCTAAACAATTGGGTTGGGCCTCACAGTGAGTTAATCTTTCACCCCAGGCTGGGTGTTTTTCCCCGCATGGTCTCTGTAGGGCTGCCTGCTGCCCCCCTTTCCCCCCGTTCCCCTAGTTTCTATTGTTACTCTTTCTCACGACTAACAGGGAGAGGCACAGGTGGGGAGAGGGGCTGGGAGGGTGGGCCACCCCTCCCATGGGGCAAGGAGTCCCCAGCCTTACCCAGATCCAGGACACACCTGGACATGTCTGCTGGGAATGTTTGCTTTTTGCCCTCTCCAGGTTGGTGGGAACAGGTGTGGCTGGGGCACAGGGAGGCACAGCTAGCTTGGGGTGGGGCTGAGGGAGGGAAGCGGGGTCAGAGAGGAGCAGAAGGCCCTGGACCCAGAGGTCGCACCCTCCAGAAGGTACTGTGGTTTCAGGACCCAGTGGCCCTTGCTTTGTTTGGGTACCAAGGCGTGTTCCTAAGCCCGAAGCCATAGGAAGGGGTAAGGGTGCGGTGGCAGGCCCTGGGCTTGGGCTGGTCAGAGCTACTGATGGAAATGCCGATAAGGGCCCTTGAACGGGTTGGCCAACATCCTGTTTGGACAGGCTTTTTTGGTTTTCTCTCCTGCAGCCCTACCCTGGCCCTGATGGGATAAATACAATCAGGGTGCGTGAGCCCAGTGTAAACTCTGTCAGAAACAGACATAACCCCCCTTCAGGATTCCCGAATAGCAGGATAGACAAATGCAAAAAATAAAAAGAACTTAGACCCTACCTTACATCCTAAATGCAGAAAGTAACTCTAAAAAGATGTAGACCTACATATAAAACTTGAAACTATAAAACTTCAGGGAGAAAATGTACAAATCTCTGGGACCTTAGCTTAGGCAAAGATTTCTTAGATATGACACCAAAGGCATGATCCAGAAAAGAAGACAGTAAATTAGACTTCATCAAAATGAAAATTTGTGCTCTTCAAAAGATACAGGACAAGCTGCCAAGGGGAAATACGTGCAAATCACATGTCTGATAAAAGACTTATATCCAGAATATACAGAGAGCTCTAAAAATTCAATAATAAGACTCAACATCCATTCATGTTTAAAACTAAACAAGGTAGAAAAAGAAGAGAACTTCCAAACTCTGATGTAAATTACAAAAAAAAACAAAAAACAAAACACCCTCACAGTAACTATCAAACTTAATTGTGAAATAGTGAAAGATATCTCCTTGAGATAAGAAAGAGAGAAGGATGGTTTATCACCACTTCTCTTAACATTGCACTAGAGGACTTAGCCAGGGCAACAAAGAAAGAAAAGATCATAAACCATCTAAAGATTGAAGTGCAATAAATATCACCTTCACTGTGTGTGAATGACACTATTATGTAGCTGCAGATATAATAAAATCTACTGATTAATAGTACAATTAAGTGAATGTAACAAGGTCCCTGGATGCAAGGTCAATATATAAAAATAAATTCTATTTCTATATGCCAGCAACAATCATTTGAAAAATAATTTTTTAAACACTCAATTAAAAAACCAAAAACCCAATTTAAACATAGGCAAAGGGTTTGAACAGATTCTTCAGCAAAGAGGATACCTGGGTGGCAAATAAGGAAAGGAAATGTCCTCAGCAAATTAGTCATTAAAGAAATGCAATGAAATACCAATGCAGACGCCTCTTGGAAGAACTCAAAAAAGGACTTGACAGTACCTGCGGTTGGTGAGGATGTGGTGGACAAGAATACTTAACCACTGCTCGTGGGGCTATAAAATGGTACCATCACTTTGAAAAACAATGTGGCAGTTTCTCAAACAGTTAAACAAATATTTACCATATGATCCAGAAATGGAAGCATATGTCCACACAAAAACTTGCACACAAGTGCTCATAGCAGCATTATTCATAAGAGCCAAAAGATGGAATAACTCAAATATCCAGCAACAGATGAATGGATGTCCAAAATGGGGTGGAGCCATACAATGGGATATTATTCAGTGATAAAAAATGAACAAACCATTGCTAAACGCAGCAACGTGGATGAACCTCAAAACCATTACACTGAGCAAAAGAAGTCAGACACAAACTATTTCATATTGCACTTTTGTGGAATTTCTAGAAAAGGCAAAGCTATAGAGACAGAAAGCAGACCACTGGTTACCTGAGGCAGGGGAGGATAGGGGAACCAGAGCTGATGAAAATGCCTCGACACTGCATTGTGATGACGGCTGCACCACGTGGTAGAATTACTAAAAGTCACCTAACTGTATATGTACAAGGGGCTAGTTATGTGCCATGTAAATTATGCTTCCAAGAAGCTATAAAAAAAGTTGTCCTACATCTTACTACACTGATGGACAGTGACTGCATTGGGGTGTGGGTGGGGACTTGATAATATGGGTAACTGTAGTAACCACATTGTTTTTGCATGTGAAACCTTCGTAAAAGTGTATATCAATAATACCTTAATAAAAAAAATTTTTTTTAATTTAAAAAAAAGAAAGTTGCCCTAATAAACCACAGATGGGATTGTCACCATTTGGAGGATTAAATCAACAGGTACCTTCGGTGCCAGACCCCGCGCGGCACACGGAAGACATGCCAGGTAACAAAACAGACAAGAAGCGTGCCTTTGTGCGGCTGACACTCTCTGGGGGAAACAGATAGGAAGCAGGAAGTAAAACCTATGAAGCGTCATATGGTGATGTGTACCAAAAAATAAATGGGCAGGGGAAGGGTCTGATTTTAAGTCGGGGTCAGGGCAGGCTCTCTGAAGAGGTGATGTCTGAGTAAAAATCTGAAGGAAGTAAGGAGGAAGCCATGTGGAGATTTAGGAGAGGAGATCAGGCTGTGGGAACTGCGGGTGCAAAGACTCTGGGGTCAGAATATGCCAGGAACAGTGAGGAAGCCAGAAGGGCTGGAGAAAATAGTGAGGAGGAGATGGGTGGAGAATGTAGGGCCTGTGGGTCATGGGGAGGACTTTGACTTTTGCTCTCAGGGAGGTGGGAGCTACAGAGGATTCTTGAGCAGAGGAGGATCGGTGCCTGACTCAGGTGTTCCAGGGTGCCCTCTGGATGCTGTGGGGGCGACAGCTTGTGAGAACTGGAAGATCAGGGCAGAGGTAAGTGCACTGGTCCAAGTGGGAGATGTGGAGGCTGATCAGAGGTGGGCCGTGGAGGAGGTGAATGGGGTGCATTCTGGATCTGAGCATCTGGGCCACCAGAAAGGAAACTGAGAGACGTGGAGGGGGTGCCCAGGCGGGACGTGGGTCCACAGTGACTCTCGTCCCCAGTCGAGGCATGGCCCTGATTTGAGAGCTCTGGGGCTGCGGGTACCTCTAGGGGCAGAGGTTCTTAGAGCCAGGTACCTCCTCCCTGCGGCCTCCCAGTGCCCACTCTGGCTGTTTCCTTTCCAGACCTTCTCCCCTGGGGAATCCAGCCCATGTGCTTCTGATTCCTTTGTCCTGAACTCATGCGGCACGAGCGCCCCGAAAGCCTTATGTGGAAGAGTCTGGAGGCAGGGGGTGGGGAGGGGGGCACATTCCTCCGGGGGGGGGGGATGCAGGGTGGGGGACACAGGGCCGTGTCCAGGGCATCCAGCAGTAGGGAGGCATCCTCCCCAGCCAGGCCAGACTGGCCGCCGCCCGGCAAAGGCTCTCTTTGGGCCCTGGCCGGCGCCCGCCCACAGCCCAAGCTCTGGCTGCCCTGACCCCCCCAGGCCTCCCACACACTTCCTCTGAGGAGCCGTGACCGTGGGATTCGGTGTTTCTCGTCCTCTCCCTCTTGTCCTCGACCTCCTCTGTGGGGGCCGCAGCAGGCCTGGCAGGGCCCGTGCATGGCCGGAGCCCCAGGGCTGGCCACTGACCCTCCCTGGCACGTCTGCCATCCCCGGCCTCTGGCCACTGGGCTCCCTCTTCTTCCCCACCACGTGGGCATCCCTGGTCCCCTCCTGCCTCTCCGTGTCCAAAGTTTCAGAAGGGTCTCTGTAATTCATTTGCTCTTTATGAGCACAGACCCGCTGGACCCAGTTCTGGCCACTGAGCAGACACAGTGACCAGTGCTTAGAAGTTGATGTTTGCAGAGGCCTTTCTGGGCGTTAATAAATCAGCCCCACTGTCTTCCAAAGGCCCTGTGAAGGGGGAGTGAGGATTCTTGTTTCCATGTTACAGATGGGGAGATGGGCACAGCGAGGTCGTGCCACTGACCTAGGGCCACACCAGAAAGGGGCAGAACTAGGACCAGAGCCCCGGCCACGCTGCTCTTCCGCCCTTCTTGAGAGCAGCAGATGGGGTCCCGGCCTTCTGGAGCTCTTGGTCCAGAGGCAAGAAACAGGAAATAGCACATGAACAAGAACATACCATTCAGTGACAAGGGCACTGGAGATCTCCAAGAGGATGGCTGGGGAGATGGGGGCTGGGGTGGGGGCCCCCGAGACCACCCCCGGGGGTGAATGATTCACTGGGACTCACAGAACCCAGAGAAGCTGTTGTACGCATGGTCATGGGTGATTACAGGGAAAGGAGGCAGGTGCGAATCCACAGAGGACTAGGGCACATGGGGCAGGACCTAGAAGAGACCAGGCGTAAGCTTCTGGGTGTCCCCTCCCCATGAGGTCATGCAGACAGCTTCTCATTCCCCCAGCAACAATGTGTGACAGCACACACAGAGTATTGCCAACCAGGGACACTCGCCTGGGCCTTGGTGTCCAGGGTTTTTACTGGGAGTTGGTCACGTAGGTGTGGCTGACCTCAGGCTCCAGACCCTCCAGAGGTCAAGCTGATACCACATCATGGCCCAGGACCTTCACCACAAATCACACTGTGAGCATAGACTATCTGGCCTGGCTAAGGTCCTAGCTGTACAGACACACATATCAGGCAGGATGCTCCAGAGACTTAAAGATGACCTCCCGTGAGCAGATCAAGGGCCAGTAGTGCAGACAGGCCTTGCTTTGGAATGCGCAGAGTGGGAGCAGGCCAAGCCTGCTGAGGTGAGTCTATACTATGCAGGACTGAATGTTGTGGTGGGCCAGGAATACGTCTTTAAGGATTTCAGGTTGAACCTTAGGCCAGAGGAAGTGGGTTCTTATCTGATCAAGTCTTGAGCTGACACCTGATGGCAGCCTGGTTAGAGACTCTGAAGGAGGAGCTACACCCATCTCTGGGGGCAGACAGTTCCAAGGAGAAAGAACAAATAGCAGATGCAAAGGCCCTGAGGTGGGTCTGAGCTTCCAAGAAGAAAAGGAAGGCCAGCACAGCCAGGCCAGGATGAGGGAAGGAAGTGAGCTAACGGGTCATCTGTGGCCAGATTGGAGGGCCCGTGGACAGGATGACAGAAGGAGGGAAGTCCAGGAAGTCACCCCCATTTGGGGCCTGAACAACTGAGCTGGTGGTGGAGCCATTCACTGGAAAGAGAAAACCAGTGGACAGACTCCAAGGGGCGAAGATGGCCCCATGATTCCCACCTCCTGGTATCCACACCCTGACCTCAAGTGTGAACAGGGTCCTCATGTCTCACTTCTAACAGTAGAATAGGACAAAGAGGGGTGTCACTTCCAAGATTAGGTTACAACAGATGGAGACTTCCATCTTGCTCCAACCGTCCCTCTCTCCCTCTCTCTTGTTCTGATGAAGCCAGCTGCCACATTGTGAGCTGCCCTATGGAGAGGCCACCTCCTTAAGAGCAAGTAAGGAATTCAAAACTTCCAACAACACACAGCCAATGTTTGGATAGAAGCCTGTGAAGGGACCTGAAGCAGAGAACCCAATGAAGCCATTCCCGGTTCCTGACCTACCGAAACAGAAACTGTGAGATCATAACCATTTGGTGTTATTTTAAGCCCTTACATTTGGAAAATTTTTGTTACACAGCAATAGCTTGCTAACACAGTAAGTAGGTTTGGCCAGAGGTCAAGAGGGGAATTAGGAGTTATAGTGTTTGCCATATGAGGAAAAAAGAAATCATCATAGCCATCTGCCTTGGGCTACCTTCCCGCAGTTGCAGAGCCTGAGGCAAGGATTTGAGTGCAGACATTTCATTAGAAGGGGATCCTAGAAAGCATGAGTAGAGGAGACAGAAAGTGAGATAGGGGGGTGCAGGCAGCAAATACAGAGAGTTTGAATGCGCACATTACTGCTGTGGTCACGGGGCTCAGTCCCTCTGGGGACCTCTGATAGAGTGCATAAGACGCACACCTCAGTTACCCCACATGAGGGGTGAAGGAGCTGGAGTATTGATTTAACAAGATGATGGAGGTTTATTCCCAGGTATGTTAACTCCCTCCCAGTTTGAACCTGGGCCCACATGGGCCATAGAAAACCCCCAGGCAGTTTACCACAGCTGAGATTAGAGTAAGGCAAGCAAGGTACACAGATTTTTCCTTTGCCTCAGGCTCTAATATGTCTCAGCACATCACTATGACAGATCCTGTCTTCATCGAAAATTTTGCTTCTTTATTCATCACGGATGTTTGGCATTAACTTTTATTATTTCAAACATTGTGTTAGAATAATATTGAGTTGTTTGGTGCCTCCTCAAAGTTTGATTTTCTCATCCTAGTTCCAGCCCTGGAATTCACCTAAGGAGGCCACCAACACCACAGGAGAGGACTCAGATGTCAGCTGCCACATCGGAGTCTGGGTATGCTCAGTCCTGCTGCAGTAACAAGTGAGCTCCAAATCTCAGGGACCTAAAACATCAGAGATTCCACTTCTCACTTGGCACATTGTAGGTTGCCAGAGCCGAAGGACAAGAAAACACACAGTGGCTTACACCAGCTCTTCAAGTTGCCGCCTGCACATGACCAGTGTCATAACCGCTCACATCTCATTGGCCAACACAAGTCTCACAGCCACACAAGCAAGAGCTGGAGTGGTAGTGACCGACCCGACGGCCATTAGCCAGCAGGCTAAGAGCGCATTAGGTACATTTATACTGTTGTTTAACCATCCCTGCCCTCCGTCTCCAGAACTTGTTTCTTTCTTTCTTTTTAAATTTTGACATGTGTTACATGCTTGTAACCATGACCCAGATCAGACTATCAAACATTCTCACTCATTTTTCTCCCCTTCCCCTGGGCCCCCCATCCCCTTACCTCCAGCCCCTGTTTTTGTTTTGTTTGCTCATTTCATTTTTTCAAATTCTACACATAAGTGAAATCCTATGGTACTTGTCTTTCTCAGCCTGGCTTGTTTCCACTGAGCATAATACCCTCCAGCTCCATCCATGTTGTTGCAAATGGCAGGATCTCACGCTTTCTTATGGCTGAATAATATTCCATTGTGTATATGCACTACATCTTCTTTATCCATTTACCTATCAGTGGACACTCAAGTTGCTTCCATATTTTAGCTATTGTAAATAATGCTGCAATAAACAGCCATGCATGGAGCTTTCTTTCCAAATTAGAGATTTTCTTTTCTTCATATGTATTCCCAGAAGTGGAATTGCTGGGTCATACGGTATTTCTATTTTCCTTTTCATCTTGTAAAACCGAAACTCTCCCCTTTAAACACTAACTGCCCACTTTCCCTCCCCTGGCCCCCGGCCCCCACATCTACTTGCTGTGTGTGTGTGAATCTGACTCCTCTGGGGACCTCCTATAAGTGGAACCATGCGTTTGTCCTCTCGTGACTCTCTTATTTCACTCAGTATAATGTCCTCAAGGGTCATCCAAGTTGTAGCATGTGCCACAATTTCCTTCCTTTTAAAAAAATTTTTAAGTGGTAAAAAAACTTGTAATATAAAGTTCATCTTAACCACTTTTAAGTGTACGGTTCAGTGGTGTTAAGCATATTCACATAGTTGTGCAACCAGCCTCCAGAACATTTTCATCTTGCAAAATTGCCACTTAACACCCACTGAACAACAACTCGCTTCCCACCACCCCCCAGCCCCCAGCGCGCCACCCTTCTGCTCTCTGTCTCTGTGAGGGTAACTGCTTCCGTTTCCTCTTACAAGGAGACTCTTAGAAGGACACCGGACCTGTCCTTTTGCCTCTGGCTTATTTCACTCCGCATAATGTCCTCAAGGCCTATCCATGTTGTAGCAGGTGCCAGTTTCCTTCCTTTTTAAGGCCGAATAATATTCCATGGCAGGGATACCCCACATTTTGTTTATCCCTTTGCCCACTCATAGAAACTTGAGTTATTTCCACTTTTTAGCTATTGTGAATAAGGCTGTTGCAAACGCGGGTGGACAAATACCTCTTTGAGACATTGCTTTCAATTCATTTGGAATCGCTGGATCGTACACTTATTCTGTGTTCCATTTTTTAAGGAACCGCCAGACTGTTTCCATTTTACAGTCCCACCCGCAGTGCACAAGGGTTCCAATTTCTCCACATCCTCGACAACCCTTGCTGTTTCCTGTTTGCGTTTTATAGTAGCCACCCTGATGGGTGTGAAGTAGTATCTCATTGTGGCTTTGATTTGCATTTCCCTGATGACAGGTGATGCTGAGCACCTTTTGGTGTGCTTACTGCCCATTTGTCTGAGGATTTTGATGACTCCATTTCAAAGGAAGCTCAGGGCATGGCTGTTAGTCTCCTTCCCAATGCCAGGGCACCAGGTAACCTGCAGGGTCCACAGGGCTGGTTCTTTGAGCCAGGCAGAAGCTGGGGGTGAGAGGCAGGCATGGTGGTGCCATATCCTGGAAGGCACTGCTGCTAACCTTCATCACTTGTCACCAAGAACCACGCCTCATCACTTGTCACCAAGAACCACGCCAGGGACCACAAAAAACCCCAGTGACACCATCATCCCCAGATACACAGGTGCCGACAAGAAATGCTCCCCTTAAAGTCCTTCCTTGGAGCACTCAGAAGAAACACTGCTGTCTGTCCCTCTCCCCGTGGCTTCCTGTGGTATTACAGCAGGACACCTGCGGCCATGACGGCTTCACGCCAACACACAGGACCCAGACCCGCCGCCCAGTCTTCACCTCCTGCCCTGTGGAGGTGATCAGCGGCTCACAGCACCATCTCTTCCTCTCCCCCTGGACCACGGACTCCATGGACTGTTTTTTCCATCAGCCTGCTTTTCCTTTTTTTTGATTCTTGAATGAATTTATTTTGAAAGGAAACTTAATGCTGTGGCCACAAAAGAAAACCTGAGTCATTTCCATAAGCAGAAAGCAGCAGGAAAAAAGGAATGACATCATAAAAAGGAACGACGTCATAGGGGCAGGAATGGGGTGACGATAAATTCGGTTACTGCTGCTGCCTGCAGAAGGCTCGAGGCTGGACTAGCACAGGACTGCGAGGCAGCCAGGAGCAAAGCCTCGGGGGTAGAGCACGCTCAGGGACCCTGAGAGCCACTGTCTCACCCCCCAGTCCAGCCACAGCACAGAGTATTCTTGAGCCAAAAAGATAGAAAGGAAAGAGAAGGGAAGGGAAAGAAAAGAAAGGCAAAAAGGAAAGTAAATGAAAACGGAAAGAGACAACCAGAGTTTTTAAAGTCAAAGACAGAGCAACAATAAGCGCAGAGTCCGACATGGATTCATGCAACCGTGACCAAGCACCAGCTGTGCTCCAGGCACGGTTGAAGTTGCAGGGGACGCGACGTGGCCGAGGCAGGTGCGCTGCACAGGGGCGGACTGTGAGCCGTGGAAACAAGCAGAGTGTCTGCGACCCCCAGGGGCTCAGGGAGGCCACTGGAGATGAGCAGAACAGGAGAGAACCCATGTGGAGTGATGAGGCGGTTCTAGCTGCTCAGCGTCCGCGCCTGTTTGGGCTTTAAATATTTGGAGTATCACCTCTGACTGCATTGCTCTCTGAACAGTTTCATCCTGTTATCTCTCTGGCCTTATCTCCACTTTGCTCCCCCTCACTCACTGGGATTCAGCCACACAGGTCTTCTTGCGGTTCCCCATCGTGCATACCAGCTGCACACTTTGCATAGGCTATTCCCTCTGCCTGGAACACCCTTCCCACACATACAGTCATGGCTTCTCCTTCCTCACCTCTTTCAGGTCTTGCCTCAAATGTCCCCTTGTCAGCGAGGCCTTCCCCAGCCACCCTATTAAGTTCTGCACTTCCTCCCCCCAGCACCTCCCACTTTGGTTAACCTACTTAATTTTCCCATTGTGTAACATCCTCCACTATGTTCTGGTCTATCACGTTCATGGTCTTCCACGTTGAAACGTCAGGTTTTGATCCGGCCTGTTCACACTTGCACCCGCCCAGTGCCCAGAACCTGGCATGTGGTGCTTGTTGAGTGAATGTATGACTGTCAGACATGCCAGAAGAGGAGCGTAATGCCTGCTTCATCTCAGGGCAGTGGAAAGATGAACTGAGGGACAACTGATGAGCCACAGGGAAGAGGTTGTCACAAGAGAGATGCTGGGGGTGCAGGGTGGGGGACACCTGCCAGGACCCACTCAGGTGAAAGTCACATGACATGAAGCCAACCCTTGAACAATCCAGGGGCATTCAGCACATTCACAACGTTGTACAGTAGGGCCACCTCTATCCACATTGTAATGTATATCAGAATTTCATTCCTTTTCTGTGCAGAGTAATGTTCCATTGTATAGATGGACCACATTTGTTTACCCATCATCCGTTGATAGACGCTTGGGTTGTTTTTGCCTTTGGCAAGGATTTGTTGGAGTCCCTGTTTTCAGTTTGTTTCAGGGATCTACCTAAGAATGGAACTACTAGATCTTAGGGTAACCCTATTTTAACATTTTGAGGACCCACCAAATTATTTTCCGCAGATGATGAAGTCAGACCCATCTGGTAGAGTGCTGGGGATGGGTTTATTCTTACTGAAGCCCCTGGCTCCTGGGATACATCTCTCCTTTCTGGGACTGGTCATGACCATCAGCACCAGAAACCTGTGACATAGGAGGCCCCAAAGGGGAAATGGAGGCATGGGGACAGGTCGACCTGGGCACTCAGCCTCAATTCCTTCCTTCCTTTGCCCTGCCCCACATTCTGAGACCCACTGGCAAGTGCTTGGGAAACGTGAGTCCATCCTCACTGGGCACGGTCAGCTGCCAGCCTACCGCTCCCAGAAGCCCTTGCAGAACGGGGAAGAGGCTGAGAGCGAGAAAGAGGCGGAAATGCCACCACGTGTCACACTGTGTTCCCAGCTCAGGACTGCAGGGTTTCCTGTTGGTGGCTGCCAGCTTCCCCGCCCCCACTGCCCACAGCCCCTCTGGCTGCTCCCCTTCCCCAGCTGGGCCTCCCCGCTCTGGCCATCCCCCACCACCTCTTTCTTTTGCATCCTCAGGCAGCTTCTCACTAAAGCCTTTAAACATTTTTAAATTTCCAAACAAATTTTTGCAGGGCCTCAGGTTCCCAGAATCGCTCAAACATAATTCTTGTGACTATCAGTCCATCCATGACCCATTTTCATTTACTTTTTTGATTCATTTTTTTTACAGCTCCAAAAGGCACACTCAGGAGCCCCCCAACCAAGACCTGAGATCCGACTTTGCCCCCTCCCTCCACCACCCTGAATTCTGTTTCTTATTCCCTCACTCTGGAATTTCTTAAAAATTCTCCTTGTGCGCATTGGTGTGCTAAAAGCTTATTTCATTTCATTTTCTCCGTGACTGAGCTTTGGGACGGGGATGGCTTTCAGAGGGGACTCTAGAGACTTCTCCTTTGCTCAGGACTCTCCTTGGTCCGGTCATCATGTCCTAAGCCTGAAATATATTTGTTTTATTTGTCAATTACAGCTCCATAAAACTTTAAAAAAATATTCTTCTACAGAATCCTGTCAAGCAATTAAGATTTTTTTTGCACTTCAATTTTTTTAAATTAAGAAAGGAGTGTTGCCAAGACCCAGCCTTCCCTGTGGTGCACCCCTGGGTTCTTTTCACTGGCTGCATAATATTCCAATCCCTTTATCCATTTGCTAAGGAAGCAGCAAGTTTCCAATAAAGCCTTAATGGCCACTGTGCTAATGGGCTGCCTTAAAGAACCATTGGCGTTGCTGGTTTTTAACCACCTGCTGGTACTTCCCCAAATCTTGGCCCTGGCTGTGCAGTGGTGAAGCTGGGGACTCTTGGGGCCCAGCTGCCCGTGAGGAGCCCTCTCTGCTCCAGGGCCACCCCCTGCCCAGCTGTCAGCACAGCTGCTTATAAACCGGCTATTTATAGCCCCACCCCCCCAGCCTGCGTCACAGCCCCCTCCACTCCCCTGCTGGGGCCACCAGT